GCAACCAGAAGCTCATGATCTGAGCCACAGTCAGCTCCTGGTCTAGTTTTTATTGACTGTATAGAGCTTCTCCATCTTTGGCTGCAGAGCACATAGTCAATCTGATTTCTGTGTTGACCGTCTGGTGATGTCCATGTGTAGAGTCTCTTGGGTTGTTGGAAAAGAGTGTTTGCTATGACCATCGTATTCTCTTGACAAAATTCTACCAGCCTGTGCCCTGCTTCATTTTGTACTCCAAGGCTAAACTTGCCTGTTATTCTGGTTATCTTTTGGCTTCCTACTTTAGCATTCCAATCCCCCATGATGATAAGGACATCATTTTTTGGTGTTAATTCTAGAAGGTGTTGTAGGCCTTCATAGAACTGGTCAACTTCAGCCTCTTCAGCACCAGTGGTTGGGGCATAGACTTGGACTATTGTGATGTTGAATGGTTTTCCTTGGATTCAAACTGAGATCATTCTGTCATTTTGGAGATTGTATCCCAGTTCTGCTTTTCCTACTCTTTTATTGACTATGAAGGTTACTTCATTTCTTCTGAGGGATTCTTGCCCGCAGTAGAATACCTGATGGTCATCTGAATTAAATTCACCCATTCCTGTCCATTTTAGTTCACTGATTCCTAAGATTTCAATGTTCAGTCTTGTCATCTCTTGTTTGACCACATTAAGCTTGCCTTGATTCATGGATCTTACATTCCAGGTTCCTATGGAGTACAGATCTTTACAGCATCGGACTTTCCTTTCACCACCAGATACATCAGCAACTGAGTGTCCTTTCGGCTTTGACCCAGTCGCTTCATTCTTTCAGGTGCTACTAGTACTAGCCCTCTGCTCTTCCCCAGTAGCATATTGGACACCTTCCGACCGGAGGGGCTCATCTTCCGGCGTCATATCTTTTTGCCTTTTGGTACTGTCTGTGGGGTTTTCATGGCAAAGATACTGGAGTGGGTTGCCATTTCCTTCTCCAGTGGATCACGTTTTGTCAGAGCTCTCTGCTATGACCTGCCCATCTTGG